TATGTACAGATTTTGTATGAAAATCTTAAACCGATAAAGGTCTTACACGATCTTAAAAGATGTTTTTAGAACTTAAAAGATTTTATGTGTTCTCACACAAGTACTTATGAGATCTTATATGATTCTTACAAGAACTTATTAGATTACTTATATATAGAATATTTTACATAAGAATTTTCGGCAGGGTATGAACTGCCCAGGATCTTTTTAACAGAAAATACACTGTAGTATATTTTCCTCTTTGATTACGTAGATTTCAGTCTTATTTGTCTTACTTCTGACGTAGTCGAAGGATTGGGTTAAGTGCTACTTGATGGGATTACATGCGAGAGGCTTGGAATAATTAAATGTCTTTGTAACGGCTGTCAAATTTCCATCTGACACGCCAGCTATCACTATAGATATTAACAAGTATCAAAAGCACCACAGTGAGCTGCGAATAACACGCTCTATTTCACATAATACTAACCAAAATAGTAAGATACGTTTTAATGGGATCTTGTTCAGTACAAACATACGCGATAATTGTTATATTTTACAAGTCTATGGTTAATTTGTATTATCTGTAACATCGACATTAATAATAATATTTAAGTTTAGGAGTAAAAAAAATTTATAAATATTGAATAATTTTTATAATACTGGAATGGAATCTACAGCTTTCGGAATTTATAATATAAATATTTTGAATAGCGAAAAGTTTTATATTAATTTGGAACAAGTTCGTGCAAATTATTTCAGAATGCCTTTTTGGACTGATGACAGTGACCTAGAAAATATAGAAATAACAACATACGAGTATATCATCGCTATTATAATTCACAACGAATAGACATCTTCTTTTTTACAATTTAAATGTCATTTTTATAAGCAATTTGATAATATATTCTTTTCGTTTGAGTACTGTACATTTTACAATATTTACTTCCTCTTTTTCCTTTTGTTAATTCTTACTGTTTTATATATACTCTCTATCAAAATAATTAAAAACTTTGAATTGTTCTCTTTTTATTTGAATACTATATTAAATGCGCAACTATTGTTCCATAGTTAAATTGCATCTACAATTGTGATACAAGTCCGAATATTGTCACTAACAAGATTCTTATCAATTTTCAAAGAAAATAAACCTATTATAAAGTGCAATACAAACATAAGTATTTATAAACAAAATGATTAAATTATTTAATTGTTACTATAGAATATATCACAGAGTAAAAAATAATTTTATGTTTCAAATGCTTATTTAATTTGAAATAACCAAATTTATCAAAATAAAATTTTATATTATGTGTCAAGTATACTTCTTAATATTAACTCTTCTTTATAGAGAGAAGACAGATGAACCGTCCAAAGAGAACGCTTTTGAAACCGCTCCGCTACCAGATGACATCTTCGGACAAAAATTCAAAACAAAAGACATGCGCAACATCAAGCATCAATAAAAGCATCATTGAAATACGCAGATAGAAACATAAATGATGATAATCCATTTATAAATATATATTCTGAACATACAGCACTAAACTCACACTTACATAATCAGCCAACACAAATAAATGTCGAACAACGAACAAGTAACAACGGACAATGTACACGTACATGTGTTGATTATGTACCACTTATATTGTCTACAAATAATTATACACAACAAACGGAACCTAGACAAGTATGGTAATACAGCAATTACGGAGAAGTATGAAAATACGAACTGCACAGAATAATTATGACTCTCTGCGTCTACATGAGCCTTACGTGTATCAAAAGCCTAATGATTGATATCCTGGAGACTTGCAAACCCAACCTGAAAAAAGATATAAGTATGTTTAAATAATATATACTTTTTTAGTTTAACTATTATTATATAATAATAATAATTTAGTTTCATAATTGCAACAAAATTGACAAAAATTGTGTGATAGTCTTCACAATATTTGTCCATATTAAAATTTATTAAAATGGAAATGTGAATATATTTTTTTATTAACAATAAAACATATCTCTTATCCTCTTTCGGTATATCATTTCTTCCAGCAGTATGGAAACACGGACTACAGAGAATAATTATGATTCCCCGCATCAACATGAGACTTACGTGTATCAGAAGACTAACGATCGATATCCTAGTAGTTGCAAACACTACCTGAAAGAAAAGATAATAAGTATGTTTAAATAATATATACTTTGCAATATCGCACTCACGAGCGTGGCGCAACTTCGTCGCGCGTTCGCAGCTATTCTCGCTTATACAATCAGATCGTGTGTGACTTCAAAAGAAACGCGACAGAAATGCGTCTTCACGCGGCCACGCTTAAGGGCAACACAAAATCTCGAAATAATACTTGGGCGCCAGGCACGAGTGAGCGTGCTACTCTTTCTCAAAATCATTCGATATAGGCTGCTGGAAAAATTTCTGCAAACAATATGAAAAAAATCATGTAAAATTCGGGAAAAAAAACATGTAAAATGGCTTTATTGTTTTTCAAAGTATTCGCTTTAAGATCGATACATTTTTGCATACGCTCAAACCAATTTTCGAAGCATTTTTTCCACTCTAAGGCTATAACCTCAGAAATCAGTGTACGAAATGTTTCAACAGCTGCTTCAGGCGACTCAAATCGCTCACCACGCATCTTATTTTTAATGTTTGGGAACAAAAAGAAGTCATTAGATGATAAATCAGGTGAATACGGACAATGAGTCATCAATTCGACATTATTACTGGATAAAAAATCAACGGTTCGACGTGCTGTGTTACAGCTGGCGTTGTCATGATGAAGGATGATGCGACGATTTCGGTTTGTTCTACGCAATTCATTTATGACTTCTGGCAAACAAATTGTTGTATATCAATCAATATTTACAGTCCATCGATCCTCTAAAGCCACGGTTGTAACATGTCCGGTATAACCGAAGAAACAAGCAATCATTTGCTTGACAGCACTGCGTGAATGAACAACTTTTGTTGGTTTTAGTTCATTTTGAAATATCCAAACAGTGGATTGTTGTTTACTTTCGGGCTCATACGAATAGATCTATGTTTCCAGTAACGATGTTGTAGACCAAATTTGACCAACCTCGGTTGAATTTCTTGAGCATTTTTTTGCTCCATTTAACAGGAGCCTGTTTTTGAGCTTCGGTCAAATTGTGTGGGATCCAACGACTGCAAAGTTTCCGTACGTTCAAGTGATCATGCAAAATCGTATTGCTTTCATGTCAATGCCTAAGGATGCCTGAATTTCGCGATATGTTATATGCCGGTCTCGCTCAATCATTTCACGCACAGCATCAACATTAGTGGCAACAACAGATGTGGATGGACGACCTTCACGGAATTCATTACTAAGTAAGGTCACTAAGTACGTCCACGCTGGAATTCGGCAAACCAATTATAAATAGTCCTATTGGATGGTGCTTCATCCCCAAAAGCCAAATGAAGTCGATCGATGCATTGTTTCGGAATTAGATTATATTTGTAATCGTAAAAAATCATTGCCCAAAAATTTTCCCGCGAAATTTCCATTTTCTTACAAAATAACTTCTTTTAAAATACTATGCAAACAAAACTAGTTGGCTTGGGTACAAACTGTTAATTGAATTATAGGTTAAAAACGTCTAATTTTATGGATATGATAGTAGCAGAACGTTGGAGCCACTGGAAGTACTAGATTGCAGAAACTTTTCCAGCAGCCTACAGTATGCCCCAGACGACAGCCAAGCATTCCAGCTCCGTCGCGCTCCATTTCGTTCGGCCTGATTCAACGTTCGGCTCGCGTATGCTATCTCTCCAACAAGTTCTAAGTTAGCACGGCCCCCAATACTTGCGCCTGTCTGTAGATAAAATCGCTTCGTAAAGTCGGGGCAAGTTGATATGGGGGCGGATGTCAAAATATCTTTCAGTTTTCTGAAGGCGGCCCCTTCCTCGGGTCTCCACTTTCATTGGACGTTCTTTTTGATCAGTGATTTTAGTCTTATCCTGATTAACGAATGAGGCCTCGGACCCAGTGTCCAGCAGTGTCTCGAACGTTCGCCACCTTAAGAATACGATCACATACGGTCGCTAATGATAAATTACATGGAGGGTCGGAGCGCGACCGAGGTTCCTCTGATCCGCGTCGTGTTTCCCGGCGGAGGGTGACAGTCGCGAGTCATTACTCCGTCCTTTCTGCATTGCGAGCAGAACTTCCTCGGCATTCGGCGGCATTCGAAACGCTTATGCCCCCTTTGCTTGCATCGCCAGAGCATTCGGTGCGCTCGCGGCAGCGTTGGGGAAGCCCTCGCGTGTCGAGGCCGTTGCTCTCGCCTCGGCTCTTTTTAATGCCAGTAGTCGCTTGTAAACTGTGGCTTCCCTTTCCAACTTCCGCGTCTCACGTCTTGGCGTCAGATATGCCACTGGTAGCTATGCATGTTCAGGTATAGGTATTCGAGTTGCTGCGATTCTGACGTAATGCCGACGCGGACTATTAATGAAGTTAAGGCGATGGCATACTTGACATACTGCTCTCCCGGTTTCTGTTTTCTCGCGTGCACATCCTCCAGTAATTGATACGCGTCGATATGTGGTGCTCTTAAAATGAGTGACAAAATCGTCCCAAGTCTCCCATTTCCTGCGATTCTCCCGGTACCATCTTCGATCCTCTCGAGGAACGCCTACGGGTTCTTTCCTTCGAAGTGTAATTCCCATTTCCTCATCTGATTTATGACCTTGGCGGGACGGGTATCTAAATCAGAGCCGGCCGGCCTGATTTTCACGATCGAATTCTGTCGCGGAGGGATCGGTGGTGGCGATGCAACTCCACTTGACGCGCCTAATTGCACGAGTTTATCGGTATCGGCCGGTGCATCGCTAAACTCCTCGAGAAGCTCGTCTATATTGATTAAATCGTTGACGCAGGTCATCGAGCACCCCTTCGGTTTCTAGCCCTAACAGTCGTCTGTAACTCGTCTATCAGTCGGCCTTTACTAAGTGTACGAGGTGTGATCAAAAAGTAAGGTGACTTTTTGAATTTCGCGCGCTCTGTACACTCTAATTACAAAAATTTTTTGTTGTTGTGTTGGTACACTCGTCACGATCATATGTTCACAGTTTTGACTATATAGCATGTGTTGTTTTTATGTGAGAGGCATAAAGGTTAGACTCGTGTTTGCGTGCTCGGCGATTTTTTGCTTTTGAAAATAATGGAGCAGAGAGTTTGTATTAATTTTTGTGTAAAAAATGGTATTAAGTGTTCAAAAACTCTTGAAATGTTGACAGTGGCGTACGGTGAGTCAACTTTGAGCAAAAAAAATGTTTATAAATGGTATAAGTTATTCCAAGAGGGCCGAGAAAATGTTAACGATGAACCTCGCTCTGGACGCCCCAGCATGTCAAAAACCGACGAAAATGTTCAGGAAGTGAAAGAAATTGTGTTGAAAAATCGTCGAATCACGATTAGAGAAATAGCTGATGATCTTAACATATCGTTTGGCTCATGCCAATCAATTTTAACGGATGTTTTGGGTATGACACGTGTGTCAGCGAAATTCGTTCCAAAACTGCGTTCCAAAACGTCGTTACTAGTGAGTAGTTTTTTGGCCAAAAACAATACTATCATCATGCCTCAGCCACCGTATTCACCAGACTTGGCCCCCTGCGACTTTTTCCTCTTCCCAAAATTGAAAAGGCCCATGAAAGGACGAAGATTTGCGACGATTGAGGAGATTAAGGCTGCATCGCTGGAGGAGCTCAAGGCAATACCCAAAAGTGCATTTCAGAAGTGTTTTGACGACTGGAAAAAGCGCTGGCACAAGTGCATTGTATCAGAGGGGGATTATTTTGAAGGGGATAACATAATTTTGGATGAATAAATGAATATTTTTTTATAAAAATGAAAAGTCACCTTACTTTTTGATCACACCTCGTATATATACAGCTCTTCGTACGTGTTTGCGCCTCTCTCTGACGTGCCGGTTCCTGTTCGTGCACCATGAAACAACTTAACTTCCGTTGCGCAGAATAGCTCGTCGAATAAATTAATTGGGTCGGGAACGAAAGAGGTTCGTTGCAGAAAGTGGAAGCGTTTACAAAGAACTGTGTATTAAAGTGAAATGCAAATACTCTTTATTACATCCAACACGATATAAACAGATAGCTTTGAACACAATATAATAAAATAAAACGAATAATATAATGAATGTAATAACGATAGCGCGTGTAGCTCTCAGTATTTCAAACACACGAGACCGGGCCCTGGTGTCGCGGCGCGGGTACACACCGATACGATCGCGGCGCGGCAGCGCGAAGCGCGCGTCGCAGATTTCGAATGTGCCTATGGCCTGAGCGTACATTTCTTCTACTTTTCTCTCTGCTATAACTTTTAAAATATGTTTGCGAAATTTTATTAAGGAATAAGAATGTTAAATACATTTTAAAAAATCCTTGCGCAACGAAAATGCCGGAGTTATTCTATGTTATTAAGGAAATGCTGGAGCGACAACTGAACTTAATTAAGGTCCATATTATAGATTTCCATTTTCAATGTATAAGATGCTTACGCTCTTTGAATTAATATAATCATGAAGGAAATTCGATCGATTAATTATCGATATTTTTATTCCGTTTCCTACATTACCATCTTAGTTCAGGGACGAAAACATGTATTAGGCTCTCACAAATGTAAGATTTATTTTATTTTGGAAAATTTTCCAATTTCATAATTGAGAAAAAAATAAACCGGAATTGAATTTTAATCTTATATTTGTGGAATTGGGCCTTAAAAATACAGTTGTATTATGTACACATGAAATGTAGACCGCATTTCAATATACCACCAGTACTAAAAATCTGTAATATACATAAAATACAGATTTTCAACTAATAGTTATAAAACGTATTAATACAAAACCGTAGTAGCACTTTTTTCTTATGTCCAATGCCATTTTAGGTTACAATATATTATCAATAAATGAATACGACATTGCACATACATAATATAACTTTTTTGCTTGGTCTAATAAAAAGAGATAGATACTTATATAATAGTACTTACATTATAATAACATATCGACTTATATATCCAATGTAGAAAATTGTATGTATACTCGTATTTAGAGATTATAATAATAAAACAATTGTATTTAAATTTATTAATTATATTATTACAATCAAAAATATTTAATTTTTGTTAATACAAATAGTGACATACAATAAATATATATACAATTAAAATATTAGCAATTGATCCTTGCATCCTCCGGGGGCGGAACCTATCTTCCTTGTGTGGTTACTCTTTGGGAAAGGGGGGGGGGAGAGTTTAATTAGTAGGCGCCCGTATTGGCCATTTCCTTTAGGGAACCACAACCCAGGCGAATCTAATATACTCAGATGAACTCAGATCTTGAGAGTCTTCCGTTGCCGAAACGATGGAACCAGAATACCAGTCTCCTATCCCGAGCGGAAACCGGAGCGTCTTCTAGATTAGAGGACACAGTTGAAGATTTTCCTCTTCTACGCAAAACAAAAAAAATATTAGCAATTAATTTATTATTATTAGAAATTGCTCTAATATAAAATAGAAATTGCTAATATATAATTGAACGTTATACAGACACATCAATCAATCGGTCAGAAATACAACGTTCAAATACAGAAATTGTTACGAGTCATTTAACTACATTATGACTGGGCACTTACAGTGCATTTTCAACAGATAATTTCATGGTGTTCCTTGAAGTGATCCTTGAAAACTTCTGAAATGTTAAGGTTGGCCTGGAATTTATCATTTTTTCATTCTAGAAAAATCAGATCATAATAAAGAAAAGAATTAATAAAAAGAAAAATGACACATATCATCTTTACATCGTTATCATCATCTTTTTACATTGCCAACAATTTAACAATTCGATATTCTTACGCATCTAAAAACGATCTTTAATGTTGATTGACATATTGAAATCTATAAATAATTAATTCTTATTACCTCAATCAGGAGTCAAATCCGGATCTCTAGCGTTCCGTGCGAGCATCCTAAGCCTTTTAGACTACCGCAGCCTTAGTAATATCTGGAATCTCAAGATGCATGTATAAATTCGTTCCCTTTATTAGAGCATTTATTTTCATATCATCGGATGCATTTTCAATGGTCCGTATGCTTTCAAAATCTGGGATTGCAGTACCATAGTTGCACAAAAGAACGTAAAATAGCTCGTAATAACCTCTAGTTTAGACGAGTACACATTAGTTCTTTGTTATTATTGCGTTTCCACCAAGTGAAATTTTTTAATATTAAATTAGTGAAACTTTCTTTAAAACATAGTTTAATCGATTCCTTTAAAGTAAATCCGAAGGACACCCGGCATTTCAGTCCAGTTTAATTCTCAATTACTGGAAATATATGACTTAATATTTTTTACTTTGACACTATGGAAATTTTGATAAACAGATTTCATAATGTTTATCCCATGAATGACCATTTATCTTCCGTACAAATGCAAACAAAGATATTTTATAGCAAATGCATTTCATATCCTTTTAAGAAATAATGCACATTGAGATTCAATGCAAATGTACCAGTGATTTACAAATAATTGCTTCCCTCTATGCTTCCGCCTCATGCTTCCACAAGGGAAGTTTTATTTTTAATTAGTACGTGTATAAAAATTTTGATCATTATCAAAATCATCGTACATTACATTGTTAAATGAACTGAATAGCAATTTAATATGATATAGTGTAACTTGTACAAATTAATGCATGCATAATGTACTTGTTCTTCCATAATAATAATGTAATTATTTAAAATAATTAATATAATTCATATAAATTAATTTTTTTTTGTAAAGAAGGCACGGTAGCAGGCTACGCTTGGCTTAGAGTCGAAACACTACGTGTCTCTAGATTTTGAAAAAATAAATCTAAATTAAATTAATAAATTAAATACAAGCATATTAATTATTTTACTACGTATTCTGTCTTTCTCGTTCTCTCTTTTGTTAAGCTATTCTTTTCTTTTTCTTTTTGTTGAACTATTATTTCTTTCTTTTGTTTGGGAAAAGAGCTAATTTGCTCCTCTTAAAGCTAACTTTATGCGGAGTGTATATTTTTGAAGCAGTTATAAAAATAAGAAGTTTTTCGGAATTATTGGTTAACTGTGTGTGTGTGTGTGTGTGTGTGTGTGTGTGTGTGTGTGT